TATACGTACAAGTGATCGATGTAGCTAAAAGAAATTCGTTATAAATTTTTATTAAAGATATACGGTTAACTGTTATTTAAGTTGATAATATTTAGCAAAATATCAGGTTGTTGATTAACCAAAATCTTCATAAAGAGAAACGGCTTTTCGTCATGAGAAAATTTATGCCGCAATCGAGCTCAATTAGAGATCAGATTTTTTATTTTGGATCAAAAGATACAAGAAATCATTATCGTATAAGAGATCTTATGACAACGTGGATATCTTGACAAGCGACTAGGTAGAACAAGTAGTCAAGACCAGGATGCTATGGTTAATCGTTGACAAATTATCGCCAGTTGCTTATCAAAACTTTAGTATAGGATAAAAAATCGATGATCTTAGAAACAAGAAGTCGTGGAAACCATCGTTACTCGCAGACAAATTATCGGCAGTCGTTTACCGTCATTAGTTACTAGAAACCGTTAGAAACAAGCAAAGACTAGGATAATTTGGGATTAACACGAAATATAATTAAAAGAGCTAGAAGAATGTATCGGGAATCATGGTAACAGATTCGTCAATGGCCTATAGAGATCAAGAGATAATCGTTTACAAGGGGTTGACAAGAAACAGAAGGAATCAAGAATTTCAGAGTGTAATCGTACAAACAGTCCTTAGAAGTGAAGAATATTAGACAATAAACCGCCGTCGTTAGAAACTAGAAGACATTAAAGATTAAGATTAATAGATTTGGTGGAGAAAGTAGATCAGTAAAGTCAAAATTGGAAGAAGGGAGATCATTCGCAGAATGGTGGGACTAATTTAAGTGGAAAGGTGTTGTAATTCTGGTAACATGCAAATTTACTAGATTAAGAAAAACGCCAGACAGGCAAATTACTTTTAAACAAAATTACGAAGCCCAAAGATATTCAAATCTACAAGAATTAAATCTCGGTACAAATTGAGACTATGCAAATGTTGATTAAAGAAAAAGGATATATAAGGAGAAATTATGATGCGAAAAATGATGATTAAATTATGATTTTACGAACTTAATTTTTAATTTTAATTTTTTTAATCTTTAATTTTTAATTTTAATTTATATTAATTTATTTTGATTATGTTTTTATCTTATTATTTAATAAAGATTTCGTATCATTTTAGTTCTAACTTTTCTTTATTTGACGAATATTATAGAAAAGTATATATAATCGAGGATATTAGTCTGATTTAGTATCATTTTAGTTCTAACCTTTCTTTATTTGACAACGGTTCTAATCTCCCAATCTTTCTAAATTCTTCGAAATGTTACAGATACTACCGCTATTTACGATTACCTTTTGGTATAGCTACAGCACCAATAATATTTCGACGATATATGGAAGATTTACTGGCTGATTGTAAAGATACAGCAGTTTATTTAGATGATGTTATAATCACAGGGAAACATGATACTGAACACATAGAGAATATAAAACAAGTCCTTAAAAAATTACAAAATGCGGGATTAAAAGTCAAAACAAGCAAAATAAATTTTATGAAAGAAAAAATAACATATTTAGGATACATAATAGATCAAAATGGAATACACTCTGATAAAAATAAAATAATGGCAATACAAAAATATCCAACGCCAAAAGATAGACATGACATAAAATCATTTTTACGTATATTAAACTATTATACACAGTTTATACCAAACTTACATGGAATCATAGCCGAATTACATAATTAAACTAGTAAAAATGTTAAATAGAATTGGACTAAAAAGGATGATGCATTATTTGAAAAAGCAAAAGGAATAGTAACAGAACACAATACTATACAATTTTATAAACCGGATCTTGAGTTAATACTAGAAACAGATGCATCAAACCAAGGATTTGGAGATGTACTTTTGCAAAAATATGATAATAGTAACGAATACCCTATAGCTTACACCTCGAGAACTTTACAAGATGCTGAAAAGAATTATTCGACAATCTACAAAGAAGCCAAATCCATAGTAAACGGCGTAGAAAAATTTCATAACTATTTGTAGGACGAAAATTTAAAATACCAACGGACCACAAACCTTTAATAAAAATATATTGGTATAACAGAGATTTAAACTCCTTAACAAACCAAAGATTATTACGTTGGGCTTATAAATTATCTGCATATGATTATGAAATAATGTATAAGAATGGCGCAAATAATATAATTGCAGATGCTTTATCGGGAAACCCAATAGAGAAAAATGATAATAAAATAACAAGTGAAAATAAAACAGTGAAATATATACGAAATCTTACTTATGACACATTAACTCTATCAAGAAAAGAACTTAGAGATGAAACTGCGAAAGATCCAATTTTAAGAAGAGTAAAAATATAATTAAATGGTACAAATATACAAAATCAAGCACCAGAATTACAAGCTTTTAGAACAAGAATAGATGAAATAGAAAATGATAACGGTATCCTATTTTGGGATGGTCGCTTAATAATTCCCTATTCACTACAAAAACGAGTTTTACAGATATTACATACAGGTCATCCCGGTATTACATCAATGAAATCCATTACGAAACATTATATATGGTGGGAAAAATTAGTCAACAGCTGTATTGGGTGTCAAATACATCGCAGAGATATACCAGAAGTTGGCATATACCCATGGTATCCGCCAGCACAACTCTGGGAAAGAGTACATTTAGAATTTGCCGGACCACTAGACGAATTTTATTGGCTGGTAGGAATCAATGCATATTCAAAATGGATAGAGATCGATAGAATCAAAGATACCACAAGTAAAAATTTAATAAATAGTTTAGAAAAATGGCTTACACGATATGGTGTTTCACGTCAAATTGTCACAGACAATGGTTCACAATTCATTTCAAATGAATTTTATAAATGGTGCAAAAATAAGAATATACAACATATAAAAACTACACCATACCATCCGAGAAGTAACGGATTAGTAGAAAAGATGCATACAAACTATAAAAAATCGGTATTTTGCTAATAAAGAACAAACAAATGATGGGGAAAAATGCCTAAATGAAGTATTAATTACATAGAGAAATTCCGAACACTCCTCAACGGGTCAAATACCTGACAAACTATTTATGGGGAGAAGACTAAATACTTTATTAGACTGGGTGAAACCATCAATTACTGAAAAATTAGAAACCTCTGTAGTAAAACACGACCAGTTAAACAAAGGCATACATAGAGATTTTGGAAAAAATGAATTAGTTTGGATAAAAAATCCACTTGAAAAAGGATGGCATGAAGGAAAAATAATAAATCAACAAGCAAAATTCTCGTATAACGTAGAAGAAAAAGATAAAATAGTACGAAAACACGCAGATCAACTATGAATAAGGAAAGAACCAGACAAAACAAAATCAATAATACAAATTGAACCAAGTCAAAAAGGAAGGCAACCGCGTTATCCAACAAGGGAACAAAAGCCAACAAAAAGATTAATTGATGAACTTGAACTTGGTAATAAAAAGATTGATAGATGATCTTAAATTGGTGGGATATGTTATATTTGAATGTTTATATATATTTTAAAAGGTTACGCTATTTGAATTATATATTATTATAACTTTCTTACATTTAATATTATCTTATGGAGGTCAATGTAATTGCATATTAGTAGAAGTTAATTGACATATATATATAGGAAACAATTTTATAATAAAGAATCTATTGTTTTGACTCTAAAAAGTAAACTAAACAAATAAAGCTAATTCTGTCTTTGAAGATATTCTAACTTTTTTTTACAGGAGATTTATTCCTTAGAAATTGTGAGCATACCTGCTTTTTTAGCTTCCATTTTGTAAATTGTTGAAACATAATATTTGTAACAACGTAAATTTTGTTTGTGCTTAATTTTTCAATGATTTCTCCCTTTTGCTTGAGGGTCGTTGGTATAATGTTTTATTATATAAATAATTTTAACAAGATTATCATGTATAATAAAATTACCATTTTTGCATTAAAATATAGTTAAAGATGCAGTCATTTAAAAATAATCACGAATAATTATTTCCTACTAAAGTTTTCATTTAAACTCTTATCCGATTAAATTAACATTATTGTCATATAAATGTGACCTGAAATCTCATTTATCGATATTTCGCAATTAACCGATTGGATATTATAAAATGTTTTTAAACATTATGCCAGAGCAATTTTTTTCAAAATCGCTGGGGTTTTTCACATTTGTATATGCACTTAAGCAATATGTATTTAAACGGTAGTGACTGTATATTTATTATTTTTGCGACAAGATTTACTTAATACAAATTTAATGAAGTTATTTTAAACTTTTTAACCTAACAAAATTTCTATATTCCAAGTGTTTGGTTGGTATATCTAAAGAAAACAGCATAAAAATATATAATATATAACTTACCTTAATATCTACTTATTTACTGATTTAATTTGTTTACTTGAATTTTGATATTAATAAAAATAAAATTATATAACTTATTATTTTCTTTTCGCTGTCACTGTTATTTTTATAATCTTAGGGGAAAATGTTTGATAATAAAATAAACATTATTTTTTTCATCTTTATCAGGGAAATCAAAATTTTTAAACTTAAATAAAATATAATTAAAATATTATCAATAATAGAGTAAAAAAAGGTCATTAAGATTTAATAAAAAATTAATGATGAATTAAATATAATTGATATGACAAAAAATGGAAATATATGATACAAATTAGTAATATTTAAAATTATATTAAGTCATTATAAGATTTAAATATGAAAGATTATCCTTAATTAATTATAATTGTGATAATTAGTCACTAATCCTATTTTCATGAGATTTTATTTCTTAGATTGATGACATACAATTGACAACTGAGATACCCCCCCCCTTTAAGAATGAGAGATATAGCTTCGAATTCTATAATCTAATAATTAAACCAAATTTGGCTATGAATTAGGTCTACTAATCCATCATCAGCTTACCTGTCAAACTTCAATGCCTGTCAATTCTCATTTTACCAGTCAATTTTCAATTTAATAACAGAAAAAATTGAATGTTTCAAAATAGTAAATTGTTTTTCAAACCTTCAGCTTTAAACAATCAAAAATCCTCTTGCTCATTGACTTCGCGTATATTTCTTTTATGTAAATAAAATTTTTATCTCATTTTTAGAAGAATTACCTTTTGTATTGTCAAACAAAAATATTACTTCAAATTTAGCCTTATCAGATAATTTTGCTAATTTAACAAAAACAAGTCATTTAAATTGATAATAATAAATCTATATACATTATATAGAATTAAGTCCAGTTAAAAATGATAAAAAAGATCATAGCAGCATAGAAGAAGCAGAATATAAAGACCAACCAAAAGAGTAATATAAAAAATTAGGAAAAATAATGGGTTTTTTAAAGTAAAAAGGCAGATGATGAAAAAACCACTGCTAACCTTTTTATATTTGGCCAAAATTTACAAGATAGAGCTGAAGTACTTTAGAAAAAATTAATTCCCTAACAAATAAATTTAGAACATAGATCCTAAATTACAAGATGAATATAAAACTAAAGAACTGAATTATGGAAAATCTATAAATAAAGAAAATATAAAGAAAAAAGATAATAACAATGATGACAATAAAGTTGAAAATTTAACTTTTGGTCAAATAAATAAAGGTAAAAAAATTGTACATTCATTTAATAATTTAAATATACCCTACAGTTTTAATGGATTCTCTCTCACCTATATTTTTAACTTATTTATTACATAAAAAATTATTTATATTTTTTGGAAATTAAATAATGTTAGTATATAATTATATAGAGAGTAAAGAAAATCATGCATTATCAACTTCCAATTCTTGTCCATCTGATTTAAAAGAAAATACCTTTGAACATGGTATAAAGTATAAAGAAATTAATGAATCAGCAAGACAACATTTTGAACATTTGAAGGAACTTAACAAGGTACAAAACTTACATGATGGAAATGAACCAACAGGAGAAGAAAATGAAATTACAGTTTTTCAAGTTAGTGAATTGTTACCATTTACATTTTTTAAGTTCAAATTTTGATATATGAAATAATTGATATTTTTTAATTCTCACTCAAGAAACCTTGTTGGATAATTTTGATTATTAACATAAAATATTATAATGTTTTTTATAATATTTATAAAGAATTAGAAATCAACCTTAAAAATGATAATATAGTAACAGCCTGAAGATTTTGCTCACAGAAGGAACAAAGGTCTAGACATATATTATCGAAATGTCGAGGCTTAGACAATATTTTTTCTGATTAAATATTGAGTTAGCCATTTTAAATCGAATCAAAATGAGCCATTTAACAACACTAATTTTTGATCGGAGCCTGGCCCATTTTGAATTTTATACTAATTCCAAGCCTAACCCAATTTTTTATTAGCCAGCCTTTAATTTTTAATTAAAAATAGTAATTTAAATATATTATAATATTTGTAAAGTTAAATTAAACAGAAATATACTAATTGCTTTAAAAAATGCATGAACTTAAATAATCTAAGAATGCATCAAGATATTAAGGCCTTTTTCATAAATAAATAATTCACATGAGGCTGATTTATGAGATTATAAGTGAAATATTTTTATCAAAATGAAGTTTATTGTACCACGTATGATTTAAAAGCTTCGATACTCAATTAGAAAAGCCTATTTTAAGCCATCCTAAATATTCATTGGTATTGGAAAAAAATCAGATCTTATCCACCAAGTCTGATTTTGGATGGGTCAAACATGTTTGGATTAAGTATGAAAGGATTTGGCCATTCACCATTTGTTAACTAGCCATCAGGGTTGGCAATAAAAATCATTATTTTTTTATAAATATCAAAATTTAGATTTATCATGGAATAACCATTTTTTATAAAAATCAAAAAATTGATTTTGATTTTTTATTTAAATTACATTTTATAATAAAATAAAAATAAAAACTAATCATTAAAATACAAATAAAAAATAGTATTAGTTTATAAAATAAAATTTTTTATTTAAAAAAAATATCAATTTAAATTAATTTGATCTAATTGTGCCAACCTTCTAGCCATGGAAAAATTGTAAACATATCATTTTTCCAAAATCTTTATAAACACAACAGGCATATGGAAAACTTTACGAATTTCATTCAGAGCAAAGTACATGGACCGAAAAGGGCAGTGGGTACTTGAAACTAAACGATTCTAAAGATAATTCTGACGGTCTCAAATCCAGACTAAGTGAAATTTAATTTAAAAATTTTTTTAATTTATATTTATTTCAATCATTTCTTAATTTTAAAGGAATGGTAAATTTTAAAAAAAAGATAGAAAAATAGTTTTAAATTGATTATTCAATAACAAATAATTTAAGTTTTTCATATATTTCAAAATTTATTTTTTTAAGTAATGAGGAACCATGGAAATTTGCGGCTCATCCTAAATTCGAAAATATTTTCTAAAACCACAGCCGAAAACCCAAACAGAAAAACATTAAGGTTTTTGGCAATCAGTGATGTATTCAATAATCCAAATAATCCTACTAATCCCACCAACGAGTCCGATATAAATATTTTGACAGAGGAGAAGAAAGGATTAAAGGCCTATTTATTCAAAGTTAGTTTGATTTGTTTATGATATTAAATTAAGTGTTTCTCAAATTAGACAGGCATGTAATAAACACATTCTGTATTTTTTAAATGCTTGACGATGAATAAAAAAAATTCTATTCCATGTTCAAAACATAATATATATTATTTATTAGTATTTCTAAACTATAAATTATACCAAATACATGTTAAATAATATTTATTTTAATATCTAATAATTTTTCAGAGATAATATGCTAGAATCTTATTATAAGCTAAGGGCTTAACTTGAGGCTAGTTGCTCAATCAAATTTATACATAACGTTGTTTGTCTATGAAAATGAGGATACAATTTTTTTAAAACATAATATCAAACTTTTTTTTAGGCTAACAATACAAATGACATAGAAATACTTACGTCTGCCCTCAATTCTCGCATCAACGAAATGGCCCGTACTGAATCGCAAAATGACCACAAAATACCCCAAAATAAGAGGCCACTTGAAAATGATCATATTGGCACCGCCTTAAAAAATTATGAAAATCTTACAACTTACGAAGACAACGATGAACAAGATTTAATCGTTTTTGATAATAGTCCTGATGATAAAGTAATTGAATTTTTTAAAATTATACATGTTTAGTATTTTTTTAGACATTAAAGCCTTTTTTTTACCAAAAGTATATATATTTAGAAATATGTTAATAGTGCTAGCGAAAGATTTATTAAATTAGAATATTCTATAAATAGAAATTCCAGATATCGTAACATTATAATGGGAGTACATTATCCATTTTTTTTAGAAATAAAGTTTAATGTTTTTACTGAATTATTATGCAATATTTTTGTGAACACTGAACGTGTATCAATTTTTTTGTAAAATGAATATTTAAATCTGTTAACTTTTCTATTCATTTTAATATTTTTTAAAAAAATTGATACTCATCTTTCTCTCTATGTTAACAATGTTTGGTTATTTTCAATTCACACTACATTTTTAGTGAACCTACGATACTTCAGTTAACCCTATATTCTATAACTTTGTCATGATGAAGGCTAAGAATGCCATGTTTATTATATTTACTTTTTTTTAAAATTCATCCAATTTTTTTAAGGATTAAAGAAAAAAGATGGTTGTAATTAATAATACCCAGAAATGTATTCGAAGATGAGGCTATGATAGACAAAAATTATTATAAATTTTTCAAGATCGAATGTTAAACACAGACGGAATTTTATATGATTATATTCAACATCATTATCTATTAGAGGTTTTGAACTAATTTTTAAGTTTGGCCCAGTTTTAACTTTGCCCGGCCAATTTTGTATCCGGCCCAGCCCGTTTCTAATTTTTAAGGTTTCCCGACCCTGCCTGGTTTTTTCAAATACAAGGCCTAACCCAAAATATATATAGTTACTAGAACAAACAACTACTTATAAGAGTGGTTAAATTAAAAATAAGGTCATTTCATGTCAAATGAGCAAAATGAGATTTTCGGCCTATCCCCTTCAATTTTTTAAAAATTTTTAAGTAACGAAAGGTTAGTGGAATTAAATAGTTAAAATTTTAGCCTCGTTGCATTTATATTTTTTGGAGATATTAGGGTTCAAAATGGCAAAATGATGTATTTTTACAATTATCTGCCTTCATTCAATTAGGCATATTTTAAAAACTAATTTAGTATCAAAATTACGTACTAAGATTATACTTTTAGATAAAAAAGATTTTTGATTTTTCCAATTTCTTGCCATTTTATTTAATATATAATAAAAACAATTTTTTGGAAATAATATGAACTTTAATTTTTATAAAAAATTTAGATATTTCTAAACTATTTTTTTATATTTATAAAAAAAATCGGTCTGAGACGCTTCAAAATTGATATTAGTGTAGTGTATAAATATTTTCCCGAAAGAGGGCCTCTTTGTATAAAAATATATATTAATCAGTTTTTAATGGTAATAAAGGATTATTCATCTTGTAAGTTAAAGTAACAATAAATAAGAGTTTCAATGAATTATAGAAATTGTTTATCTACAAAAGAAATTCAATTTATAACATTATTTACAGAGTTGTTAAAGTAGCGCGCTACTTAGCGCGCTATCTTTTTTGGTAGCTATAGCTAATAGCCGCTACTTTTTTAAAATTATTTAATTTTTTAGCGCGCTACTTTTTTTAAAAGTAGTTAAGTAGCGCGCTACTTCGCTACTTTTAAAAATATAATGAATGTAAGTATAAACATGAAAATTTAAATATAATATCATAATTAATTATAATTTTTATAATTTATTATTTAATTTTGAAATTTAAATATGTTTTCAATTTTTAATTTATATTTTCAATCTGTGTTAATAATCTAAAATGGCATCGTCCATGGATATCCAAATCCTTGAAAGTGATTCAGATATGGAAGATTCAATGGAAGAAAATGTACTTAATAGCTCTAATAACGTTTCCATTCCCTAAATTTGAAAAATTTTTTTAAATAAATATTAAAACAAAATCTGGATTCAAATTCATGTGCTTAAAATGTAAAAAAAATATATCATCAAATCAATCGAGTAGCTATAACCTGAAGAAACACCTAAAGGTAAATTGTTATTTTTAAATTATAATATTATTTATTTTATTAGACTGTTCACGCCAATTGCTATAAGGAAATAGAGAAACATATAAAAAATTTTGGTATAGGAGAATCTTCATTCAAAAAGACAAATACTATCCAAACCAAATTAACTGATAATAAACATGCCAATATTTCACAAAAATTGGCTGATAAAGTTATTGTTGATTTTATTATTGACACAGTTCAGCCAGTGTCTTTGGTTGATAATCCATCATTTACTCTGATGATTAAAACTTTATCCCCTGGCACAACAGTTTTATGTCGCCAGACACTTATGAATAAAATAGCCGACAACTTCAAAGTGATGAAAGATGCTCTAATAGTAGAGTTATCAGATATATCTTATGTATGTACCACGGCAGATAGTTGGATACATAACAGAAGGTAAAAACTTATTTATATTTATAAATTGATCTGATTAAATATTTTTAGAGCTTATTTGGGAATCATAGGCCATTGGTTAGACCCTAGGACTTTAAAAAGAAGATCTGTAGCCTTAGCCCTTAAAAGGATTATAGGATGCCAGACATATGACGTACTTGCAAATAAAATTATTGACATCCACAAGTCTTTTAGGATTCATAATAAAGTTTGCAAGATGGTTACCAGAGTTGTTTAGATACAAGTATCTAGATACTGTATCTAGATATAAAAATGTAGTATCTGTATCTGTATCAAGATAGATTTTTTAGAAAGGTATCTGTATCTAGATATTTTTTTAGAGGTATCTGTATCTGTTTTTAGATACTTTTTAAGATACATTTTATATACCCCTTTTTTTTATTTTAAATAAAAATATTAGACTGTAAAATTTATTTTATTTCATATGAGCTTATGAAATAAATAAATATATATATATTATATATTAATATTTATTAATACTATAATAAAGAATTATATATACATAAAATATTAAAACTTATATATAAAAAATATATATAAATATTCATTAATTTAAATATTATGTCCGAGTTTATCAATAAACCATACAAATTTTAATATTACATTATCGAAATGGTAAATTTTATTTTATAACTAAATTTTTAAGTTTATATATTTATTTAGATCTATATCGATGAAGAAGAGGAAGCAACAAGTTCTATTGCTTTACCATGGCCAAATTGAGCATATTTTAAAATAATATCTCAAAACAAAGAAAACAATTAATTCTCTGATGGTAAAAGGTTTGCCGTGTCTACTTAAAAATACAAAAATATCCGTCAGTATGACTTCAACGTTCAATATCGTGAAGCACATAAGGGTATAGATATTATATATTTAAAATTCTAATTAAAATTTTAAGAGAAAATATCCAACCTTGTTAACAAAAATAAAAAAGGGGAAGGAAAATAAAATACTAAAGAAAATATTGGCAAGGCTCATCCTCCAATAATATTTTTGCTAAAAGACCTTTGACTTTAACTCAAGGCACTTTAGATGATTTAATTATTGCTTTTATTATAGATGGCATGCAGCCATTATAAAAGAAAACAATTGATACAAAGATTAGCTGGTGAATTATCAAAGTCATCAACTGACTGCAAGCAAATAACCTGCCAAAAAAAACAAATAATTTAATTTCAGATTTTTTTCAGTACCCTACAGATATAATTTCTAATAATGATTTAAATTTTGATAATCAACAAATTTTAAATAACTTTTTCAAAAATAAATGTAGAGATTTTAGCATTTTTAAAGAACTGATATAAAATTGTTATTTATTAAATATAACACTACAATTCCTTCAAGCGCCCCTGTGGAAAGACTATTTAGTGTTGCTAAAAATGTCTTCACAGATAAACGAGGATGCCTAAATGATCAAAATTTTGGAAATATTTTATTACTGAAATCTAATAATTATTTAATCATATATTTTCATATATTATATTAAAATTAGTTATATTCTGATAAATGTTATATCGCGTCAATAAATTTTTAGCTCATTTCATGAATTTTCACAATATAATATTAATTTAGGTTTATGCAAACCTATAAGAGCCTAAAAAAATGTATCTGTATACAGATACATTTAAAAATTGTATCTGTATCTTGATAACTTTTTAGACGCTGTATCTGTATCTAGATAACTTTTGAGACTATGTATCTGTATCTAGATCCATTTAAAAAGTATCTTTTAACAACTCTGATGGTTACTGATATGGGTCTAACTACCTGAAGGCATTTAGGTTATATCACAAATTTATTTATAATATTTATTTTAAGTTATGATTTTTATCAGAATGGAATGGTTATTATTTAATCTATAAAATATTTAGTATTTTAATATTTCACATTATTTACAGAATTTTTATTAACTAAATACACACATATTTTAGTAATATTATGATTATCATAATTTATATCAAATTATAAATAAAATTAGTGAAATTAACTAATAAAATATAAAACAGAGGTGGATTATTTCATTAATTTTTATTGTAAAGTATCTAACATTTAATAAGATATGGTTATTGACAGAGTTGGGCAGGTCCTCCAGAAAAAGAATCTAGATACAGATACAGATTCTTTTTAAAAAAATGAATCTTAAATACGATACTAGTATCTTTTTCAAATAATCAAAAAGATACAAGATAAAAGATTCTTGTATCTTTTACTAAATTAGAGTAACTTAAATACAAGATACTTTTAAATTATCATTACCAATTAAATTAGAGTAGTTTATAAAATACAGTTTTCATTATTTATTTGTGAAGAACATAGCATACACATATAAGAATGAATATTTGCAATAATTAATAAAATATTTATTGATGAATTAATCATAATAACCAGGGATTAATAATATTAATTTTTGCCCTTTAATAGCTTAAACAGGGAAGGGACAGTAGTATATTTAATTGAAGTTAAAAATGTGCAAATAAGAAAAAAAATTAAATCAAATGATTTATTAGAATTTGCAGGTTATTTTCTGTGTTGTTTTAAATATAGCTTATATTAGGAGTATATGGATAAAAACATCAAC